TGTCCAGTGACCATCCACACTTTCTTCAGCCTTAACTCAGTGCCTTCTTTAGTGGAATTTTTCCTGGTCTCTCTTCCTGCTACAGAAATTGCTATGTCTACCAGTCTCCCTCCCTAACTGACCCCAGTACACGCTTTCATTCTAATCAAGGCATCTAAGACATTTCTCTCTTCCTCGATCTTTCTCCTTCATGATTTTGTGAACTTCTTGATACCGGGAATGATGACTGACCCATTCCAGTGTCAAGAGAAATGTCTAACACAGAGAAGGCACTTCAGGTTTATGAATGAATGAACAAATCAATCAATCAATCAAAGGTGAAAGACTTCAGGTTTAATGATAAGATCAACCACAACAGCAACGCTGTTGATAACAAACATTTATTGAGTAGTTATTCTGTGCCAAGCATTGTGCTAGTTGCTTTTACCCAAATTACTAAGTTCCCAGGGGAGTCATGGGTTATTGGTTCCTAATAACAGACAATCAGTATCAAGCTATTATCATGTGTTTAAGCATTTACATGCACTTGCTCATTAAGCCTCACAATAGCCTTAAGAAGAATCTACTACTATTATTATTTTTTCTTCAAAATGAAGATACAGAGGCCTCAAGAGATAAGGTTATTTGTCTCAGGTGCCACATCTAGTCAATGAAGGAAGTGGGATTCATCTCCCTAAAGTCAATGACTAGACTCCAGAATCCAATATCACATACCACCAAGTGTCCTTTTCAAAGTTTAGAATAACTGTAACTATAGTGCATAGTTTTGAATATTCGATGTGGTCATTGAAAACAGTTCTGAACTTCAAAACAAATTTTTGGGAGGTGAGAATGTGACTCACATGCCTATGCACACCACACCTCTGAGTTGCCTGTTACTTAAACTCAGATGTCATGATAACAGACATTTTTACTTGCTTCAGGTGAGATAAGTAACATGATAAAATATCTTAGCACGAATAAGTGCAGATGTGACCAGGAGTGCTTTGGAAAAGCCATTTGTTCTGGATTCTTAAGTCATAATCCTCCAGCAAAAGGACTTGAAATTCAGACTTGCTGGAAACAAACAATAGACTAAACATTGCACGCTCACATTCATGCCAAAAGGTGGGATGTTAGAGAAGCCTGCCAAAAGGCGGGATGTTAGAGAAGCCTGACTTGCTGACTTCAACCTCTGGCTCCTTGGAATATGGAGTGAAGCAAGATCTAGAAGTTCACAATCTGTGCATTCATTTGGCATGAATGCTTGAATCACAAGTGGACTTCAGAATTAGGGCCAGCCTGAGGCTTGTGCTTTCCCAACCCCAGAAACGTTGGGAGCTAGAGTCAGAGAGAAGGATCTGAGAACAGTGGATATAGTGATAAGTCTGGAATCCTTCAATCTGGGGCTAAATTCATGCTCTATAACCTACTTTCTGTGTGAACCTATGCAAATTACTTAACTTCCGAGTTTTATTTTCTGTAAGATGGTGATAATAGTTTTTACCTCATACATTTGTGAGAATTAAATGAGAATATGTCTGTAAAGTTCTTAATAATAATGAACAACATTTATTGGGAATTTCCAATGCCAGGCATTGTTTTAAGCATATTTTACATGTATGAACTTATTTAATCTGTAAGGAAGGTACCTGGAAATCAGTAGGAGGCTCTCCTGGGGCACCAGAGACCAGGGATCCAGGAATGGAAGTAGTCAAATACTTTGACTGTCCCACATAGCAGGTGCATCTTGGAAAAGCCACTGCTTAATCTAGATGCCTGCCCCTCACCTCCACCTTTAAAGAGGAAGCACAGCAGTGAATAGGAGCAGACAACTTTAAAGTTAGACAGACTCTGTCCTCATTCTAGTTTTTCCACATACCACTGAATGTCCTTAAGCAAGTTGCCTAAACATTCTGAGCTGTAGTTTCCTCATTTATATTATGAGGGATAATCCACTGAACTAAGAGGTGGCAATGAAGATTAACTGTGATAAGATCTACAATGATTCTAACTTTAATGGGTGCTCAGCAATGAAGCTGCTACTGTTATCATTTTAATTATTATTTCCCAAATGTAGGCAGTGCACACCTGCAGCCCCACCCTTGCCTCAACTTTATGCAGGTCTCAGAGCTAATTTCCACTCTTCAGAAGAAATTCATTTCTACTAAAGATGGATTTTGCTGGAGATCTTATCAGAGAGACAGAGGAGGTAATTTACCTCCCACATTCCAGAACAAGTTCTTGGAATCCTCTGTTATCTTCCTTCATATTCTTACTAAATCTATTTTCTGTGCTGCCCCTAAACTAGCTCATCCGTCTACCATGCAAAGCTCCATTCTCCAACTTTCAAATTCTTCCAGGATCCTTTCAGTCTCTCACCGCTTGTTAGTCTTGACTGAACTTTACATTTAAACTCACACATCCTACTCAACAAACCCAAAGTGCTTCCATGAACCAGGAGATCCTCCTTAGAAACTATTTAACTCTTTAGGGATCTCAGCTCTGCCTCCACCCTAGGCCACCTATGAAAGCTCCTTCTAAACTCACAGAGCCCACCTGAAAGGTGTTCCATTAAGTAAACCTTTCTCTATCTCATTCCATTAGTACACCCTTCACTACTAATATTGGGTAGTGAAATCACCTTTGCAAAACTGTAAGTGAGAGAAATCTGACATAGCTGACTCTGTCTTGCTTCTAACCTCACAAACTACCTTTTCTCATTCCTATTTGTATGCCAAGCTAACTATGAGAAGAATTTAGTTTGCATTTTAATTTTAAACTAAGGATGATAATAGTCTCTTCCCAAAACTAACCCCTCTCTTGTTCATTGACTGAAGCTGCTTTTGTAAAACTAATGAAAGGCCACAAGGTTAGAATTATGGTGGGGGCCTCAATTATGCTAAGATGTAAGCATAAACTCTAATTGGTCATTGTTTCTTCTGCTAAGATGTAGGTATTGTTAAACTGTAACCAGGCTATGTTTTACAATCTGCCTTTTGGAACTGCTTACTACTCAAGAGTCACATAGTCAGTGGTCATAAGATTTATAACATCCCCAATTGCCCCTTTAGATAATGTCAGTATTGTAAAATCTAAGACTGGTGTTTGAGTTGTTTTTTAGACCTTACTTTGTGATGGACCAACTGGAACCACCTGGACTGGTAACCTATACCAAGAAACTGACTCAACTGGTCCTGCAACTCCCATCTAAGAACTGACTCAGTGCAAGAAGACAGTTTTTTGGTGTTTTTGAGAGAGTTTCACTCTATCACCCAGGGTGGAGTGCAGTGGCATGATCTTGGCTCACTGCAACCTCTGCCTTCTGGGTTCAACTGATTCTTGTGCCTCAGTCTCCCAAGTAGCTGGGATTACAGGTGTGTGCCACTAACACCCTGCTAAATTTTGTGTTTTTAGTAGAGACAGGGTTTCACTATGTTGGCCAGGCTGGTCTTGAACTCCTGACCTCAGGTGACCCACCCTCCTCAGCCTCCCAAAGTGCTGGGATTACAGGCATGAGTCACAGCATGTGGCTGAGAAGACAGTTTTCACACCCTATGATTTTATCCCCAGTCCAACCAATTATATTTTCTATTCTCTAGCCCTCCTGCCCACCAAACCATGCTTGAAAAACCCTAGATTCTGATTTCTCAAGGAGGCAAATTTGAGAAATATTTTCTGTCCTCCTCATTCAGTTGCCCTGTGATTATTAAACTCTTTCTCTGCTGCAACATCTGCTGTTTTCAGTGTATTGTCTTTTTCTGGGCAGCAGACAAGAATAACACAATTGCACAATAACAGTAACTTAGCACATAATAAGTATTCAGAAAATTACAATGATTATATTATTATTTACAGATCACTCTTTCTGTTCTTAGTAAAGCAGATTTCTTACTGACTTTTCTACAAAATACACTTAACTGATAGAGTAATTCTGCATATTTGGGTGTCACAAACATATAACTTTTTAAAAACATGATAGTAGAGTGTCTGATATGGTTTGGCTCTTTGTCCATAACCAAATCTCATCTTGAATTGTTCTCTCATAATTCCCATGTGTTGTGGGAAGAACCCAGTGGGAGATCATTTGAGTCATGGGGGTGGTTTCCCCCATACTATTCTTATAATAGTGAATAAGTCTCATGAGATCTGATGGTTTTATCAGGGGTTTCTGCTTTTTCATTTCCTCATTTTCTCTTGTCACCGCCATGTAAAAAGTGCGTTTCACCTCCCGCCATGATTCTGAGGCCTTCCCAGCTATGTGGAACTGTAAGTCCAATTAAACCTCTTTTTCTTCCCAGTCTCAGCTATGTCTTTATCAGCAGCATGAAAACAGACTAATACAGTGGACTTACCCAAGATTTATTCAAATGATGATGACTCTTTCCACAGTTTAACATGTAATAGCATTTTTTAAAACTAGGATTTTCTTGAATGTTACTGACTCATAAGTAACTAAAGAAAGTTGAACTGGTACAGAAACACCTTTGCTTGATCCTTTAATAACAAGGAAGACAAAATGATGCCTGCTTTTTATAAAGCAGCAAATGACCATTAGTTTGTTGGATGTAAAACACTGATGACCTGCAAGTAATATTAGCAGTTAGACAAAATCATCAAAATTCCAAATATTATTCTGGTTTCAAAGGATTGGACTGTCAAGTCTCATTGAATATTTAACTGACAAACAAAAGTTTGTGTATGTGTATAGAACAGATAGAGTTTCTGACTATCCAGGCCACTTTCTAGAGCAGTCAACTTTGCCCCCAAGGCTGATGAATCCTATTCTTCAGTACTGGAGAAGAGGGAAGGTCTTCTATTCTTGGACAGAAAAGAACTCGATATGAGATCCGACTTTCTTTGTTAGAACCACCTGCTCCAGGCAGAAATTTGCAGATCTTGGTAATATGCCACATTTCTAAAGACTTTTCTTATTCTTTTTGACTTTGGGTGTTTCCAATTCAGATGCATGAATCCAAGGGAATAGGAGTAGGGTATAGAAAGAAAATACAAGAGACAGAATGTGGGGGATAAAAGTATTTATTGAACACCTACTATATTCCAGGCATGCTGCCAATTGGTATCACCTACATAAGGAAGTTTAATTTTCATTACATTTCAGGTGATCTGTATTATTATTTCAATTAAATAAATGAGGAAACTGAAACTCACAGAGAGTAAGAGGGTTACCCAAGTTCTCAGAGCTCTGGAGGGGCAGAGTTAAATTGTTTCTTGATCTTCTGATTCCAAGGCTATGTTCTCTTGTATGTTCTTGGTCTTCTGATTCCAAGGCTACGCATACTATAATGTCTATGAGAGAGAGAAGAGAGGAAACGTGCTGTGGTTTTCCATAGTCAGACTCCTTGCATGCCTTTTGGGGAACGTGGATGGTGGTAAGAGCTCAGGCTTTGGCGTGAGTTTGCAATGTGCCTGTAAGGCTGCACCCATTGTTAAAATAGTAAAAATTGAAATATTTGTATGCCAATTGATAGATTTCTGTTGCCCTGAGTCCCTTGAATATTCTCTCTGTTACCTCAGTCATTCCAGACTCTACTCCAGGATTTTCCATACCTCCCTGTGAGTCAGCAGTCCAGTGGTTATGTCACTGGACATTAGAGGGCCTTGAGGACCCTAATTCAATTCCTTGGCTAATCTATTCTGATTCATCTTTATGATATGGTTTGGCTGTGTCCCCACCAAAATCTCAACTTGAATTGTATGTCCCAGAATTCCCATGTGTTGTGGGAGGGATCCAGGTGGAAGTAATTGAACCATGGGGTGCTGGTCTTTCTCATGCTATTCTCGTGATAGTGAATAAGTCTCACGAGATATGATGGGATTTCAGCTTTTGCTTCTTCCTCATTTTCTCTTGCTGCCACCATGTAAGAAGTACCTTTTGCCTCTCACCATGATTCTGAGACCTCCCCAGCCATGTGCAACTGTAAGTCCAATTAAATCTCTTTTTCTTCCCAGTCCTGGGTGTGTCTTTATCAGCAGTGTGAAAATGGACTAATACTCTTTACTATATCCATCATTAATAATTTTGAGTACCATTTCTTCCCCATTCTCCTTCCTCCTCTCTCATGAACCCAGTCCATCTATGGAGATTTCTATCTTTGCTCATATGAGTCCTTGATTTTTGTGGTGCTTTATGTGAAATATCGGTTGAGAAAGGCAGGAGAGGTAGTCCATACAAGGCAGAAGACAGAAACTCAGTTCATCCACATTATAAATAATTGAGAGGAGATATAGGAAAGAAAATAGCACCTTGAAGGCTGAAGTTTGATAAAGAGTGCCAGTGTGTTTGCTAAGCATGTGGTCCTGCAACAATAGTCAAATTCAATAAATTAGTAAGGAAGCAAAGATTGCTTGAGATATGTTTTTTGGGAATTGATCTTTCTTAAAGTTTTGAAGGGACCTAAGAGAAAAAGAGAATTTGTTTCTAGTTGCTACCGGGTTATACTTCCTTGTATTCTAGTCAATGCAAAGACTGGGCCACATGAAGCTCCTAATTTATGAAGGTGACAAGATGATCTCTAAGATTCCTTCCAATGTTAATCATAAACAAAACACCTGAATCCACCCCTCAGAGGTTCATCAACTTCTATGGGTTCTATAGGTAAGATGACAAGCTATGAGGTCACGTGAAACTGATCTCAGTAGGTGAGTTATAGTCTTGGATGTACCTACATTTGACTGTGAGTTCTTAAGAAAGTATCTTACCTTTATTGGTCTCAGTATTTTTATTTGTAAAACAGTAGGTAACCTTTATGGCTGTCACTTATTTTGAAATTGTTTTTGTTGTTTGTTGTTACTATTTTTTGAGTTTAGGTTGTGCCACTCTACTTTTTGTCTATCATTTAATTAAATCCGTACAGCAAAGGTATAAATTATGTATGATCATTTCCTTTTCACAGAGTAGACCTAGAAAACATGAGAGGCATGCCAAAGACTCCTTGCTAGACAGTGGCAGAGCTGCAATTCACAGTGTCCTCTCTGCTCCAAATTCAAAGCTTTCTTCTTTATAACACATGGCTTCCCAACCTACCTCAAGACCCTAGACTGGAAGTCATGAGCAAGCTTTTGTCTAAGAGAATGTTTTGAAAAATATAAAATGCCATAGAAATATCAGGGTTTTCAATATATATTATCAGCTACTCATCTTCTTGTCTATACTTTTTGTTGTTTCATCAAAATTGACCTTATAGATTTGAGGTGAACGAGGTGGACACTAGGATGCATCTCCCATATCCCCTTCCTTCCTTCCTTCCTTCCTTCCTTCCTTCCTTCCTTCCTTCCTTCCTCCCCTTCCTTCCTTCCTTCCTTCCTTCCTTCCCTTCCTTCCTTCCTTCCTTCCTTCCTTTTTCTTTCTTTCCTTCCTCCCTCCCTCCCTCCCTCCCTTCTTTCCTTCTTTCCTTCTTTCCTTCTTTCTTTCTTTCCTTCTTTCCTTCTTTCCTTCTTTCCTTCTCTTTCCTTCTTTCCTTCTTTTCCTTCTTTCCTTCTTTTCCTTCTTCCTTCCTTCCTTCCTTCCTTCCTTCCTTCCTTCCTTCCTTCCTTCCTTCCTTCTTTTCTTGAGACAGGGTTTCACTCTATCACCCAGGCTAGGGTGCAGCGGTGCGATCTTGGCTCACTGCAACTTCCACCTCCCGGTTTCAAGTGATTCTCCTTCCTCAGCTTCCCAAGTAGCCAGAATTATAGGCGCATGCCACCATGCCCAGCTAATTGTTGTAATTTTTGATAGGACAGGGTTTCACCATGTTGGCAAGGCTGCTCTTGAACTCCTGGGCTTAAGCGATCTACTCACCTCAGCCTCCCAAAGTGCTGAGATTACAGACATGAGCCACTGCACCTGGCTCCAGATCCCTTTTCAATCAAGAACTTGTTACTCTAGTTCCTGGAGTACTGTCAACCTTTAGGGAAGAGATGGCTGATCCCAAGTCACACTCCTTCCTGGAGCAACCTACATCTAGTGACTGATTGATAAAGGAGTATAAAGAGCTCTGGCTACCTTGGCTTCACTTTTGACAACTCTGAAGGGTCATTTTAGTTCCAGGGCTGTTGGTGGGGTTGACCAAGATAGTTTTGGAGCCTGCATCATGTTTTGCCTTCTCACTCTGCCAGTCCTGATTGTGGCCTTTCCCTCTTCCACAAGTGTTCATCTCAAGGCATTCCCTGAGAACATCCTGAGTGCTAAACACCTTCTGAGCCTGCTTCCTAGGGGAATCCATCGTGTAACAATATTTTGTTATTGTTGGTTCTTCATAAGTCTGACTTTCCTACTGACCTAAACATTTCTTGAGGGCAGGAAATGTGTCATATTCATTCCTAAGTCACCAATGCTTGGCTTGATATTAGGTCCAGAAAAAAAAAGCTCATTATATGTTCAATGAACTTCTAGGATAATAATAATAATAGTTAACCCTTATATAGTATCCTCATTAGCTAACTTCTGTATTAAAGGTGTTGAACATATTAGCTCAACCCTACAATCCTTCTAGAAAGTATTATTATTATTATTACCATTTCACAGATAAATAAAGGCAAGAACCTAATGGTTCGAAGTTCTACCCAAGTGTACATATCTAGTGGAGGATCTGGGCTTTGATTGCAGGAAGTCTGTCTCTGAAATTCACTCTCCTAGTCATTACTCCTTACTGCTTCTTGTATCTGTGTATCTATCAATCCACCACTTTATTGAAGGGGGATAGGAAAGAGCTAGGTAAGAACATAAGGAAGGATAGTTTTTTGTTTGTTTGATTTTGTTTTTAATTTCAGGGGGACTGGAATTATCACAGAACATTTCTGGGGATGGAGTGTCTGCTTTTCTTGCTTGGAGTCCAGGCATGGCATATGAATAGTGTAGGGCAACAGAGCTCCCCAGGTGACTCTGATGTATAGGAAGGTGTGGGAATCCCTGATGCAGGGGGCAGTTTCAAGTGTACAGAAGGCACTTTCGCAATTGCCTTAACAGAGGCCCTAAGATGTGAAATGATCTGGCAGTAGCTACCCTGGTAGAGAGAAAGGAGCCAAGACTTTCCCTTGTTTCAGGGTCCTGGTCCAGGGCTCTTTGAGCTGCACTTCCTGAAGTTGGGCCAGGAATCTGCCTTGGGCATGGGGGAACCACATACCTCACACGTGCATCTAACGATTACTCAGGAAGTGGACGCTTTGGGGCTGACAAATGCTACACCGGAAAGGAGAGGGGAGAGCCTGCCAGGAGGGGGTCGGCAAAGCCAGTTCCCTCAAAGCATTGTCCTTTCCTTCCTCCAACAGGATGCCAGGAGGCCCACAGAAAAGGGACTCATTTGTCTTCCTTCCCAGCACAATAACTTGTTGCTGGCCTTTCTCTTGGGCCTTGCTCAGAGCAACAGGATACAGTCTTTGCCAGGGGAGAAGGAAGGAAGGAAGGAGGGGAGGGAAATGACAGGAGCTCAGGATCTCCAGTCCCCATCCTGGGCCCTGGAGAGACCCAGCACTGTGAGACCAGGACCCAGCCTAGGGCTGTCCAGGTCCGGTGGGCCTGGTATAGGAATAATTTCCAGTTTCACAGAAAACCTTAATCAGATGTAAGCTGAGTACCCGTTAGAAACTGAGCTATCATTTGTGAGCATATCTGAGTGGCCTCTCTCCAACTTTTATCTTAATCTCATTTAGAAAAGAAAAAATAAATTGGGTCAATTCAGAATTGTACCTTCTTTCCTCTTTTAATTCATTGTTAAGAAGAAGAAAAGAAGGTATGCATTGGAGTTTTTGTTTGTTTGTTTGCCATGGAAAAACCCTCTTATTGACTTGATTAAACAAAAATAACACAAGCTACACAGGAAAAATTTTAGCTACATAGACACCACCTTTGTTTTAAGGTTGTAGTAGTTGGCATAGCATCTTCTTGCTACTTTCTCCAGCCTTCTCTGTGGACCACAGTGATACGTTCAGAAGCCTGTTAGTTAACACAGGAGTTTTTGAACACTTTTCTATTAGTTTTTCGCCTGCTCATTGTCTGTCATGCCTGAGGCCTGCAATGGTAACCTTTAAAATTTAAAGGCGAAAGCTGCTGGGCACAGTGTCTCACACCTGCAATCCTAGCGCCTTGGGAGCCCAAGGCAGGAGGATAGCTCGAGTTCAGGAGTTCAAGACCAGCCTGGGCAATGTAGTGAGACTCCATCTCTACAAAAATAAAAAATAAAAAATTAGCCATGCACCGTAGTGTGCACCTGTAGCCCCAGCTACTTGGGAGGCCGAAGTGGGAAGATTGCTTGATCCAGGACATTTGAGCCTGAGAAGTGGACGTTACAGTGATCTGAAATTATGCC